CTGACGCTGTGTTGCACGCGGCTGCCGTGGTGTAGGTAGGCGGCGTGGTGTACACAAGCGCTGTGGTGCACGCGGGCATTGTGGTGTACACGGGCGTTGTGGTGCAAGTCGCACCCTACATGCTGGTGCTACCCGTATTCGGTCATTCCTAAGCATTCCCAGACGCCGCCGGCGCGAAACATGATGTCATCGACCCCCTCCACACCCCCTCAAATCATTGCCATGATCGGCCCGGAACTAATAACAGGATCCAGCCGCGTCCGCGCGCACGACGACGATGAGCGACGAGCCACGAGCGATGACGACGACGACGACGACGAAAACTGCGGACCAGACACCTATGCGATTTCCTGCGCGGACACCTACGCGGATCCCAGCGCGCATGGCGGCACTGCCCGGAGCGCACTGGGAGGGGGGGGGCGTTACGTCATGGGGGGGGGAGCGGGGGCCATGACGCACGTCATGCCCCAAGCAGTAAAACAATGGTCTCTAGCTGTTCACGCGGGATCGTCGCTTTCGAATATCCGAAAGTTGCCCAAGCGAGTTCAACATCTCTATCTAATGATGATGTTTCGAGCGAATGCTCTATTTCTAAACATAAGCGGTCATCCGTTGAAAGCAGAATTGGTAGCACCCCGGATCGGCGGCACTGGCCAGAGGCCACTACAATAATCACTTGAAGGCACTCCTCGCGAAAACGCAGGAGAGCAAGGATAGCGAACGGAGGCGGTGCTTCTCGAGCTTACAACCGACACGAAAAAACCCAGAAACACATTATTGTAGATAATGCGTGTGAGATGCGCAACTTCTGCATTTGCTCCCTATTTTTCTGGGCCTGCGACCACTACCGCACGCGGGGTGGGAGGACAGCCGACGACTTTGTGGCCCGAACATGTGGTACCCCACTAGCGGTCTGAAAACACGACCTTGATAAATCCCACCAGCCCTCTGGGCGTCGGTGGCTTAGGGAGTTTCCTCTTCCACCCCTCCTTCTTCCCCTTCGGGGAGGGGTTTGTCCATCCCCCGACCCCCTCCCCTGGACCTGGACAGAGGGGTTCCGCGAGGTGTCGGAGCGTCCAAAACGGCCTCGGCGAAGAAACCAACATCGTTGGTTTTACCATGGTTTTGGCCCCATTTTGGCCTCCTGATGGGGGGGGGGCTGATTAAAGCTCCCCTCTTGTCTGATTTATCCCCTCCAAGATGGCCCCAAGATGGCCCCAAAATGGCCCCAAGAGGCCCCCAAGAGGCCCCCAGGAGGCCCCCAAAAGGATCCCAAACGGCCCAAAGAGGCCCGTCCGCGGCACCCAAGACGCCGAAGAGCCCCCCACGACCGCCAAGAGATCCCCAAGACGTCCCAAGACGCCCAAAAGATACCCCAAAAGGCTCCGAGAAGCATACAAGAAACCTCTGGCCCTTTTGCTTGCTCTCCTCCTCCGTCCTCCTCCTATCCTTATCCTCCTCCTCCCCCTCCCCCTCCCCCTCCTCCTCTTCCTCCTCCTCCTCCTCCTCCTCCTCCACCTCGTCCTCTTCATCCTCCTTCTCCCCACTCCCTCATCCGTCCAATTTTCTCATTTGCCCCCTCTCTCCTTCACACTGTTCGGCCGTCTCCCTCTTTGCTCCCGCACTTCCCTGATCACCTCCCAACTCGCCTGGACATCGTTTCTGGATGGGCTGGTGGGGATACTTTTTCGTCGTGACCGCAGGCGAAAGCGCCAGCGGCGAGTCAGGTCCAAGCGGGCCGCGCAAGAGCCGAATTGCCTAACGCCGACGGGCCGGCGACCTCAGTCAGCAGCGCCTCGGCGGGCTGGCCGGCGTGAGGGGGGTGCAAGCTGCAGCTGCCAGGGACCAGGTCCAGGGGCGCGCACATGCAAATTAGCAAACCAGGGTTGGGGCGGAGCCAAAATGGCGCGAGGGGCGTACCAGGATGTGACCAGGGAGGCAGCCAACCGGTACTCAAAGACGAACTGTTGGGGATACTTTTTGGTCGCAGCCGCAGGCGAAAGCGCAAGCGGCGAGTCCTAAATCCGGGGCGCGGGCCTACTAATTCAAACAACTGGTGGGGATACGTTTTTTTGTTTAGCGGCCCGCAAGGAAAAGTCCAGAGGGCGGAGTTACCGAGGCTGGGGCACAGCGCAAGATAATTAGCGCGAGAACGCGCGGAATGCACCTGCAAGACAAATTAGGAAGAGAGGCGGCCACAGGGAACACAGGCCGGACCCGCAGGTGGGGAGCCAGACCGGTATACCGGCAGAAGATTACCCTGGTGGGGATTTTTCTTTACAGCCGCAGGCGGAAGCGCCAGCGGCGGGAGGTCGCGGGCGGGCTACGGCCGCGGCTAAATTGCCTAACGCGCGCGGGGGCCGCGGATCAGGCGGCGGAGGCAGCGCCCAGGGCGGAAGCCGACGTGCAATCCAGGGAGACTGAGACAGCCCCAGGACGGGCATGCAACGGTGCATCCAACGAGCCTGAGGACAGGCACCGAGGAGACCAGGCGCAGCCAAAATGGCGCGTGAGGCGTTCCCGGAAGTCCAGATGCGGACAGAAAGGAACGTTCCCGAGGACAACAAACCAGGGAGCCTGACGGGCACCACAGACTGACTGGGGACATAAGTCCAGCGGGAAACCTGGCGGTGACACGAAGTCGCGACGCCAGAACGCGCATCCAGGGTGTGGAGCGTGACAGGAGAGCCTTCCACAACTGAGATGCGTCAGCCCAGATCCAACGAGTGGAGGGGCGCCGTAGTGCACGATACACGGTCGACAACGTGGCGTGTGCACATCCAAAGTGTCTCAGCGCTACCAGACCGAGTCGGATAGCACCCGAGGGACGGGACCTTCGTATACCCGAGACGCATCCCTCAGAGCCACTTCGATCCAGGGTCACGGCGGAAGGCCGTTCAGCATTAAGAGTTCCAGAGGACATCGGTCCAGGGAGTCTGACGGGTAACACAGACTGACTGGGGATATAAATCCAGCGGAAAGCCTGAAGGCGAATCCAAGTCGCGACGCAAGAAAGCGCATCCAGGGTGTGGAGCATGATGGCAGGAGAAACTTCCACAACTGGGATGCGTCAGCCCAGCCATCGAGTGGAGGGGCGTCGTAATGCACAATACGCGGTCGACCACGTGGCGTGTGCACATCCAGAGTGTCTCAGCGCTACCCAAACAACCCTGGTGGGGATACGCGAAGCGTCTAGAATTCACGCCCCCCGACTTCGATCCCTGCAGGCCCCGGCTTTTCAAGGGTCGTGCACATCCTCGCAACCGACTCCCGACCCATGCAAGGTCTGCAGCACCCCCTACGGCTGCTAACTTCTGCTGACGTTTCTGCTATGGCGTCCTGTGCATCCCTCTCCTCTTCCTCCTCTTCCGCGTCCACCTCCTACTTGATTAGTGGTCTGGGATTTAGCAGGCGTCAGCGCCCTCTGCAGATGAAAACAACAATGCGGTTGGCGCTCGGTTGAAATCAGACGGCTTACAAGATTGCGCCCTGCTTCCAATGCCCTGCTTCAGAGCCGACGTCTGCACCATATTTACGTTTCAAAGTGATTGCTGTGTTGCAGCCTTGAGCCCGTCGGCGCTGACACCGCGAGATTCGTCAACTCGTTGGGTCAGCCCACATCTGGCGGTAAATCCTGGTCTGTCGCAGACCACCGCCCTACATTACATTAGTCTCGTCTGAAGGTTAAATAAACGGCGCTTTGCGGACAACTAAGCGAGAGAATGTTTGCACTGTGGCTGCGACGGGCCCCAACCCGCTACCACGATCACGGGGGGGGGGATCTTTGGGGTCCCTTGGGCTGTGTGTTTGGGCCCTAGGTGCCTGCTCGAGAGCCAAGGCTCGCATTGAGCAGAAAAGGTTGCAGTGTTCGTTTGATTTTGCACTCTCGCATTTTCGCCGTCTTGGTCGTGAATAGCAGCGTCTACGACGGACCAAACAACTCCTCAAATCGTGCCAAGGCGGCCGCTTAAGCGCTTAATGCCCCCAAGATGGCCCGAAAAGAAACACCAAAAGGGGCCCGAAAACAGATCACAGGAACATCATTGAGACTCCGTCCCCAAGACTGCCTCAATACGCCTCCTAGAGAGTCCCCAAAGGCCCCTGGCAGGCCTCCACCAGCCCTCTGAGCTGCTGTGTGCCCACATCCCAGGACTAGGCAACCATTCAGTCGTGCTCCCAGGAACCCTCAATGGGGCTCTCCAGGTGCACGGTTGGGAACACGTAGTAGCAGTCAGTCGCTCCGTCTTTTCCCTCGGCCTGCAACCACGACTCTGGCGAGGTGGGCCGATGGTCGCCGGATATGTGCCCTGCGTTCGTTGAATTCATTCACCTGTATTGACGGAAGCACGCTTCCATCACTATGATCGATGTAGAGCAGCGCTCTGATAGGATCGATCTGCTGACGCTACGAGATAGTACGTCATCCGAGATCATCCAACTGATGATGCATCATGATCGGTACGATGCTAATTCGCAGAAGGCCCACACATTATTCATCGCCGTGGAAAGCGTGATTCCCCTTACATGCTTCAGTGATATGCCACTTCTGTGGCATATGGTGCCCTTTCTTACTGGTGCGCTCTCTGAATTCATATTCCGTTTGACAAGCTACCCTCATTCTGCTGCACACATACCAGCGGATCGCCCATTCGATTGATGCCAGCTCTGTTCAGGTGGTAGTGTAGAGGTTTGCGACCGCTACCCGCTGCTCCAGACGCTGATCTGCAGATCACTTGAGCGCGCCCATCGCACCCTCCCTCTATTCCCGCCTCCTCCTCCTCCTCCTCCTCATCCTCATCCTCGCTCCTCTTCCCTCCTGCCCATCCGTCTCTTCATCCTGCCTCCCCCCCAACCCTCCCCCTCCACACTCACTCCCACCTCCTGCTTCTCCTCACTCCCTCCTCGCTCCTGCTCCCTCCTCCTCCTCCCTCTTCCCTCCTCGTCCTCATCCTCCACCTCCTCCCTTCCCCCTCCCCATCCGCAATGGAGAGGTCGCAGGCCTACTCGTCTGGCTCGCACGCTGCGATGGCGCGGGCTAAGCCGCAGCCCACGCCCTGCCAGGCGGCCAAGTCCACCCTCGGCTCTCGCTGGCAACGGTCGGAATCCTTCGACGGCGCCCGCGCGGAGGACGCGGCAGCAGAGGTCCGGCCGAGCGGGGGGGGGGCAGGATCAGTCTGCATGGAATCGGCAAGTCGGATCGAAGCGAAATGTGGTTCGGATCGGACTGCATCGGCACGGAATAGAAGTATAATCGGATCGGACGCACAACAGCGCCCTGCAAACATCTGGCCGCACCGGATCGTTAGAATATCAACATCGAATCGGACCAGGCCAGCCAGGATCGGCACCGAACCGATCGGATCGAAATGGACCCTGGGGGGTGAGAGGGGACAGTCACAGCTGCAGGGCCATCAGCGGTGAGGCAGCATGCCCTGTAACCCCAGGACGCGCAATGCTGCACTGAGCGTGAGGAATGAGAGCAGAAGGGGCGAACCAGCACCGATTCTTGTCAGAGAAAAGGGGGAGGAAAGAACGCCTTAGGGCTGCGGCCTCGCCTGTGGTCTGACCGTGGCCTGGAAAGTAAGGAGGAGCTCGAGAATTTGGCGGCGTGCACGGCCCAGCGGCCAGAAAGGACGAACCGACTGCCTGCTGCTGGCATCGCTGTTGCACCGACTGCTGCCGTCGCCGCCTGTGCATACAGGCAGCAGCTGCAATTGCAAGAGACGGCGGGGAGCCTCGACCAGGAGGGCCCGCCGCTGGGGAAGGAGGGGGCCCATCTCTCCCATGAGCGGGCAGGGAGAATAAGGACAGAGGAGGGAACCAGCTCTGACACACGAGCGTCCGTGATTGAGGGTTCAGCTTTTTTGAGAAGGGTGAGGGGTAGGTTGGGGTGGCGAGGCGGGTCTCCTCTCTCCCCCGCAAGGCGACGCCTAGGACCAAGACTCCTCCTCCCTCCTCCCTCGTCGCTCCTCCCTTCTCATCCCTCTTGTTCTTCTGGACTTCCTCGTGACCTAACTGGCCACCTCTGGACTTCCAGCGCGCCAACCCTCAGACTTCCAGCGCGCCAACCCTCGAGCCTTCGGTCTGCACTAGGTACGGTGTGATCACACACGGCGAAAGCGGTAGTGATGTGTTGTGAATGACGAAGGGAGGAACCACCTGTGACATCCAACCGCCTTAGCCTCTCTAGATCATGCTACACGGCCCTGGGACGAGCAAACCTGAACCCCTGAATGGGCAACCTGGTGCCCTTGCAGTCAGAAGCGCTCGGTGAGCTGCCTGCGCTCTTCCAAGGACAGCACCAGCCCAGGCTGACGCCCAAGATGCGCACATTCCCGAGATGGCACCAACTCCTCAGGCACGACCACCTCCTCCGCCGCCTCCGCCTCTTTCTACCCCTCCTCCTCTTCACTGTTCTCTCATCGCCTCTCCTTCTCATCTTTTCCCGCCCTCCCGACACCTACCACCATCCCTACTTGGTGCTTTACCTCGCCTTGCAAGAACAACTGCTGGGGCTGAAGGCAACGCCGAGATCAGCATACTTCGACAAAGCAAAGACGGAAGCATGCTCCCCGCCTCAAGTACCAGCAGGCGGTCCTGCTCATCCTCCTCATCGCAACAGCCCGCCAGCGCGATGACGAAGCGGCCAGCGACATCTCGCCAATCCGCGATGCTAATCTCCTGGTGCGCGACACGTGCAAAGGGGAACTGGCAAGTCTCCTGCAACATCGCAAGACGAGGCTGGCTGGCGTCATGGACACGGGGGTCCAAGGAAACAAGCAAGAACGTCCTGCTGGCAAGCCTGCAATCGTCCGTCTCCCACATGCCGAGCATCTCACGGACGCTCGCCCACCGCAACCGACGGTGTGGCCCGACGCCGCCCCCCGCCGCCTTGGGGAACGGGCTGGCCCAGGGCAGCGCTGCCCCTGGTCAGCCACGGCCATGTCGGGGTTCCAAACCCGGGTCAGCGTAGGGAGGGGAGGGAGTGTCGGCTCCACATGGTCCTCAAACCTGGGTTAACCAGAAGAAATCCGACTGGACTGGATGATCTCCGCTAGGGCTGACACCCGTTACCAAGACCCCCCGCATACGGTGTTTTCGTAACGATACCTTCCTGGCGACCACCTCCTGTCCATCCTGAGCAGTTGTTTTGGGATTGTGGGGCCAAGCACGGGCCCAGAAGCCCCCCGAAGGGTCCATTCCGTATCCACGATGTTCAACTGAAAAAACGCATGAAACAAAGAGCCGGACAACCCCTCCAAGACGGAAACAATCGCGTCCCAACATAAACCGTGTTCTCCGCTTTCGTTAACCCTCGCTCTGCCTTCGCTCCGCCTCTGCTCCAAAACGACGCCCAAACGAAAACGGGTCGCGACACCGTGCGCCCTGCCACGCATCCGTGGCCAACGCTCGGGCGCATCCGCCAGCCCGCCCTTCCCCCGCCAACATCCCCGCGTGCCTTGCGCGCTGCGGCGCCGCAGGCGGCGCCGCGGGCCGTGATCTGGTCCAGGGAACCCTCCGCCTCGGGCTCTTCTTCGTCCTCCTCGAACTCCTGTCGCGCCGCTCGCGGGGGATCGCGCGAACGGCGGGCGGACCGGAGAGGCACCTGGTCACCTCGTTTTGCGCCCTCGCGCCTGGCGGCGCGCGCACCTTTCAGGCCTTCGCGCCCCGGACAAAGGCGCCTTTGCGGCTCAGGCCGCGACGCGCGATGATGATGCTGCTGATGATGATGTTGATGATGATGACGATGGTGATGATGGTGATGATGACAATGATGCTGATAACGATTATGATGGTGATGATGGTAATGATGATGATTACGATGATTATGATCATGGTGGTGATGGGGATGATGATGAAGATGATGCTGACTATGATGATGAGAATCAGGATGATGATGCTGCTGATGGTGGTGGCGGTGAAGATGATGGTGATGATGCTGATGATGATGGTGGTGATGATGGTGGTGATGATGACGATGATGAGACGGCGATGACGATGGCAGTAACGATGATGATGATGATAATGATAATGACGATGGTGATGCTGGTAATGAAGGTGATGCGGATGGACGATGATGATGGTGCTATGTATGGTGATGATGGTGGTGATTCTGATGATCACCATGGTGTTTGTGATGATGATGCTGCTGATGCTGATCGTGGTGACGACGCTGTTGGTGGTGGTGATGCTGGTGGTGTTGATGATGCTGATGATGATGACGATGATGATGATGATGATGATGATGATGGTGGTGATGGCCGGACGTCGCAAGGGCGGGCCAGCTCCGTGCATTTTATGCCGCTCAATTGTCAGTGACGTGCAAGGCTGCGGCAAAAGTGGCTCGATGTTGGTCAGGAATCAGCTGGTCCCCATGCGTGGCACGCGAGCGACGCCAGAAAACGGGGTCGTCTGCGCCGACATTGGCGCGTAGGCTGCAAGCGTGAGGTGGCGCGTGAGCGCCCTCGTCTCCAGTGTGGCGTGCCGCGCGGGCGGCCCGCGTAAGCCACCGCGTAAGATCGCTGCGCCATCTCGCGCAAGACCCCTTTCTGATCGTCGCTCCTTTGGGGCGGCCACTCTCCGAGAAGAGCTACTCCGGATTTCGTAATAAAGGGAGGGGGGTCTCATTTCGGGGGGGGTCTTCTCCAAGCTATCTTGGAGGGCCTGGGGGGGTCTGGGGACGATGCTTTGGAGGGTTCTCCCACGGGGGAGGTCTGAAATGGCTTGTCTTGGGGGCCCAGACCCCCTCCCTTCTATCACGAAATCTGGAGTATCACGGCGTGGGAGGTCTCGACATATGCCATGTAACGGGAGCGAACACGGACAGTCGCAACGCGCCAGCACGCGAGAAGACAGCTCGCGCAAATGTAATCGTCGCCGACCCCGATGCCGAGAAAAATGAGCGGATTGAAAGGGAAACATAGGAGGGGGCGCAACACGGAACATGTGAGGTAGTGAGAAATCCGCCGATCCAGCGTGTGAGTTTCAAAAACCCTCAAAACAGCCTGAACCTCAACTCCTGAGCTTCTACCGGGGGATGGGTGCCGGGGTGGCTCTGCCGGGGTGGGGGGGGGGGCGATTCAATTCCTGGGGCGGAATCGGAGCTCCAGCTCACTCCGGGACGGCCCCCTCGCCCAGGAGGGCCTCGACATGGGCCAACAAGGCTCCGAGTCGCCGAACGATCGCTACAAGCTGGCTGGCGCTTTAAGGGCTCGCGGTCATACTATTCATGCCGATGCTGTTTTCATGGTTTTCAGTGGCAAGCGGGTTGGATGGCACGGAGGAGGGAGTGATGGAGGGATGAGGAGAGGGGAGAGGGCGGAGGATCGGAGCGGGAGGGGGGGGGGAGGATTTTCACTCCAGACACGCGACGTCAACTCACCGAGTATCAGGGCGGCGCCAGCCTCCACCTGTCTCCCACGACAGCCACTGGCAAAAGACGTCGCGAGGCGTCGTCTCGAGCCGCCTCCCGCGAGAGGCCAAGGGCCGCCAGGGCGCCCCGAGCGAGCTAGAACGCTCATGTTCTAATGGTCGGCTGGGGCGCCCGTCGCCAAAGCGATCTCGCTCCAACGATCGGGGTCGGCCTTTGAACGCAGAATGGGCTCCACGCTCAGGCCAGAGCGCGGGGCAGAGTGTTTCAAACTTGGGTCGCGCGCCAAGAGGATGTCCGAAGCTGGCGCAGCCTCGAGGGCGCAGCGGCGCCGAGCGATCCAATCTCGAACTGCCGCGGCCCCAGGGGCGACGTCAAAATCGAGCGATCCAAAACTGGGCTGGAGCAGCCTCTGGCTCATGTAACTGAAAGCTGAAACAGCATTCGTCTGCAATTCACTCGGACATCGACTCGCTGGACTCCTCGGACTCCGACTCCCCCTCGCTCTCCTCCTCGGGCTGGTCCGCCTTGCTCTTTTTGGGCGGCGGGGCGTCGTCCTTTGTTTTGGTCTTCTTGGATTTTTTACTGCCGCCCGCGCTCTTCGCTTTGCCACCTTTCTCTGTCTTGGGCGTTGTCTTTTTCTTAGGGTTTTTCTTTTCTTTTTTCTTCGGGCTCTTATTGTCCTTGCTCGCCGCGCCCTTATCTTTCCCCTCGTCTTCGGCTCCGTCCCGACCGTCCTTCACGATTCGCAGCGCCTGGGCCTGCAAGTACAAGGCGCGGTTGCAGAACGCCGACGCCTGGCCCGTCAGAGCGCTCTCCACGGCTTTCTCCCGCGTCGTCTTCAGGAAATGCGTCTTATGGTGTTCGTCCGCCGTCAGCGCAATGACGCTGCACCCCATTTCCAGGGCGCCGAGCACTCCATTGCCCGACGCCGGGGTGCCGAACAATACCCACTTCACCGCGTCAGAACCGCCAGCTTCCCAGATGAGCTCCTTGATGACGGCGCCGTGGAAATCGAACGGGAACCAAACCTCCTCGGTGCCAGTCAGGTGCCTGTAGAGACGCCGCTTCCTCGCGTGAATGGCGATCTCCTTCTGGGTCGGCCCCTCTGCGTTGCGCTCCCCGAGCGCCCCATCCGCAGCCGCGTCAGCCGCGGACGCAGACTCGTCGGGCGGCGCCATCATTGACCTCAGGCTGACATCGCGGACGTCCTTACTGACGAAAGTAAGATCTTTTGGGGCGCAGACGGGCGCCTTGCTCATGACCTCGACGTACATGCGCGAACCGCGGTCCACGTACCACCGCTCCTGCGGGATCTTCGGGGGCATCTTCCCCTTCCAGCAAAGGAACAACTTCTCCGTGGTCTTCGAATTAGCGACGCCACGGCAAACTTTCCAATAGTATCGCTCCATCAGCCTGCTTTCGTAGACGAGGATAAACTCTTTCACCTTCCACCCTTTCTCCTTGAATACCTTCTTGATCTTCGCCTCGTTCGTGTCCACCCTGCCACCGAACACCCAGCATATATCCTGATTCCGCTTCATCACATTGTCAGTCACGTCGCAGAACCGTTTGAAATCGCCCTCGTCAACTGGTGGTTCTCGCTGGGTTAGGCACTCGCCCTCGAAAACGTTGCACAACTTGGCGTTTTGGGATCGTACACGGCCACGAACCGGCCGTCACCGTTCTCCAGGTTCGCGTACAATTCCGTGGAGACCACGCTGGCACACAGCTCGTCGTGGCGCCCGTCCGACGTCAGAACGACCATCCGCGCCTCCATCTCCCGCTGGCAATGCGCCTCGATCTGCGCCTTGAAAGCCGCCTGCGCGTCAGGGGCAGTGCCTTCGGCGTGCTTCACCGCTGCCTCAGCTGACCCAGCCGAGGTCGCCGACGGGGGCGCCTCGGGGTCCGCCATATCGCTGGAGACTGTCTTCGGCGCTGCCTTTTTGTAGGCTACGATGAATTCAGCGTGGAACCGCTTCTTGACGCGGTCGGCCTCCCAGAACTTCTCCGCCGTGTACTTACCCGCAGTGATCGCGGACAATGCGCCTTTGATTTCGGGGGCGCACAGGCCGGAAAACACGTCCAGCGCGTGCGACATGAGCATTCGCGTGGTCTCGCGCGGCAGCGCCTGCAACCACGTCCTCCGCCTGTTCGGGCCCTCCAGGAGCTCGTACATTGCCATCGGGTCGCCGAGGCACGCGCGCGCCGTGTCCCAGGCCGACGGCGGCGGCCGCGCACCAGCAGCTGCAACAGCCGCTGTACCGTCAGCTGCCTCAGTCGGGGCAAGATCATCAATGGGCTTCCGGAGCGCGTCGGGGAAAGTCTTCTGCAGGTGGACCGCGTAACGTCCGATCCACAGGCGCTGCGCCACAATCCCGCCTTTGCCATCAAGTTGAGAGTCCGAGAACGGGTTCTTCTGCTTGGTCCGCAGCATATGCGCGAACAGCCACCTGCACGCGAA